TTGCAATGCATCCTAAATCCTTTCATGTACTCCATGATATCGTCTGATCTATCAATCAAATGATCTTGTTTCCCACCTTTTACAAATTGTGTGAAAACCCTTTGAATGATATTATTAAAAAGAGTATTTGTAGTTGTGACTTTGATTGGCATATTGATTCCATATTTCGCCTTCTTCCTAAGATAGTAGAATATAATATTCAAGTGCTGCAAAAAAGAGAGGAAGAAAACATGACTACCACTAACAATATGAATGAACTACTACAACAACAAAAATAAAAAGCAGTACACATACCGAACTAGAGAGCGGCCTGCCAGAATAGTTTAAGGTATGGAAAAACGTCTTATCATCAATCTGTTCAACTTCAAAGTCAAAACAAGGCTCTAGCTTTTGATCACCAGGTAAATACACTTCCCTATTTCGTATAAAAGAAGATATGGATAAGAAATATAACAACAAACATTAAGAAAAAATGAAAATAAAAGTACATGGAAACGAATACGCACTCTCCCAATTGCATATTTGCTTCAACAAAGTTTGAGAATGCGGTCGTAAGCTTAAAATCAACCGTCTCTGAAATGTCATTTACAAATGGAAATCTTCCTTTGATAACCTTCGAGGATCCCCCAACTGCACTAACACCAGATTGCCAGTCATTCCTATACGGTGACTGTTTTACAGCTGCGGGGCGCCTTTTCCGTGTTAAAATTGCAGGAGTAGTTTCAACATCTGTTTATATCTGAACAATATTTCTTGATACCGACTGATCAGGTTTAGGCTTATTTACAGCACGAGTTGTTATATCATTTCCAGATTGATTTACATTACGTCTCCCTCCTTGTGTAATGGCAGCAATTAGATCAAGTTGAGAATCAGTATATTCAAAATCAGAATCCAAGTGAAGATCACCCCCGTGTCGACATGGAGCTTAAATTAGAAAATGCTAGTGAATAAATAAATATACAAAGTTAAGAAATTTAGAAAAAAGGAATGAAAAGTTATATATAGAAGACATTACCAGAAGGCAAATTCACATTACTTCCACCAACATCCACTTGGCCAACACCATCAATCCGACATGCTAAACACATAAAAGCATTATCAGCATCACTACTTAAATAAAAAATAAAAATCAATCAAGAGCCTATCATTTACATACTAACTACAGAATTAGTAACATCAACATCGTACCCTGTGGAGCAGTATTAGACTCAATAACAACATCTGCTCGTGTCTGTACAGGGATTCTTGATGGCAGCGGAGCAGGACCCGACTTTTTAACATCATGAGATGACTGCTTATATGTTGCTTGTTGTGTAATAGCGGTGATTTGATCAATTGCAGATGCAGATAGTTCAAAGTTAGAATCCAAGCCAAAATCATGCTCATTTACGAAGGGGGATGAAAAAAGTTTTTAAAAAAAAGATTAGTCAATGCACAAATACATAGAGTTAAATAAATAAAAAATAATCAAAAATTACATATACAACATTTTACCAGAACGCAAATCATCATCCTGTTGCTTGTGCTGAAAATGAGAAATTAACAATTTTAGTCTTATGTATATTACAAGAATACTATGTGCACTATAAGTAAAGAATGGAATAGCATCCTATAAGCATATATTGCATCTTTGAACAATATACTATAGCATTATATTATATAAAAGATGAATACCGCTGAATTTCCCTCTGGTTTCACTGACTGCCTACCAATAGCTGCAAGCACCTCCTCAAACTTGTTCTCTACAAAAAGCTTCAAAGCTTGTAACTCCTTCATTATCTCAGCATTGGTAGGTTGGGAATCACCTCCAGTACTTTCAGGCATACTTTGTGTCTTTGGTAATTGAGTGCCAAAAACCTGAAAGCTATCGGGCTGGCTGGGTTGGCTGTCAGTGCACTCAACTTCAATTTCAAAGCTTAGACCACGCACATCAAATTGTTTCTTCTCATCATCAGTTGGGGTGATGTTCTTTAGCTGCAATTATTAAGCACACTAGTTAGAAATAGAAATGATAATAAAGTATGNAAATTATTAACCACACTAGTTAGAAATAGAAATGATAATAAAGTATGAAAGAAAAAAGATCCATATTACCATATGATACCAATATAGTATACATGTATACCAACAGAGTATATCACTGAACTGGGATATAGTATACATGATACCAATATAGTATACATGTATACCAACAGAGTATATCACTAAACTGGGATATTGCTACAACTGTGACTAAACTAGTGTACCAAAACATTAAGAGAGGCAATAAAACTATGAGAAAATTACCTGCTTGCGTTGCAAGCTACACATTTGCAAAGCAACTCGCTCATTCGGGATTTGATCCATGACTGCCCATTTCAAAATTCGTGGAAGTTTGTTGTTTCCAAGATGATCAACAAAGTGACCATCCAAACTTGGGCAGCATTCATACAACCAAGTCTGT